TGAAGTGGTGACACAGGCTGACACTCAAGTGGTTAATGATTACTGGGCTTTCCACATTATATTTATTAGTGATGGCAGAGCAGAATGATAATATAGATGTGATCGCTATAAAGACATCACGCCGCTATCCTTTGTAGTCCATGATTACACACACCAGGTCAGCATGATCCTGACTTCTCTAGAAATGATTGTATAGCTATGACAGCTGTGCTAGCCGGCTGATCTTATTATTATAGCTCTGTGATGTTGATGTGTAAAATCAGGAATCCTTCCAGTTCAGGTCATGGACCAGTGCTGAAAATCAGGGACAGGTAGCGGAGCCCACGATCAGTAACTACACCAGTGCGAACATCCACGTGACAGCAACGTGGAGCCGCAGCGTGTGTGACTCAGCAACTCTGCCCCCATCTGGCGCTGACTCGCGGCTCAGGAACCACGCGTCGCTACAGCTGTTTCTTAGGGAAGTATTTTCCCGCTGACACCGCGCTCTATTTGAAGAGAAGTCCCAGGACGGGGGACAATTTATTGGTTGCACCAGCTCAACCTGCGAAGATGGAACGTGACCGTGGTAGACACCGCAGGGGGGGTGGCGGCAGGAGGCCGTATCGGGGCCGTGGCTCGGGAGGTGACCGGGAGTACGTGCATAGAGGGCAGAGGGGACCAGTCCGCGAGCGCACGGCACCCCCTGAGGCCGAGAAGCAGGTGAGAACCGGAAGAGGAGGGGCTTGAATAATTCACCATCCACATAAGGCTGTCTACTGACAGAATTCATGTAGTGCATGTCTGAGGTAGATGGCAGAAGTTACATTTGCAGCAAATTCCATCACAAAGCTCACCAAAGTGGCTGCTAATGTGTTTCCTATGTGTGGCCGGTCACCTGGAGCAATGAGACAAGATTGTCACTGCTTGTATTGTCATATCCGATAACGTGCCACATAAATCTCAATTCACATTTACCCAATAGACCTCTTTTCCCGTACACCCACCACTGTGACAGTGGCAGGGTGTCCTCTTCCTTCCCATGTAAGAAGGCTGTTAGAGGCATAGGATGTTTTATTGGGGAAGGGGGTCTCTGATGCTGTGACCGTACCACAGACCCCATCTCCCAAGCAACATCCAGATCACTACAGATACCTCCTCCCTCCCCAGAGATTACACTGCAGCCACTTCACTTTGCCATAGACCACCACAACCACGAAGCCCCGGCTCTATCCCATATAAGTTTCAATAGTGTGTTGGTTTGACGAGCACACTAAATTTCAAAAAAGCGAACTTCAATAAGCTGTGTCATCTACTGTATGACACTAAATGGGAAAAATTATTTCTAACAATGAACACTGATGAGAAGTGGGATTGTTTTAAGAATACATTGCATTTTTTTAAGAATACTATTACCAAGTGCATACCATTGGGTAACAAAAATAAAAGATCGAGAGCTAATCCTGCAGGGCTAAATAAAATGGTAAGACAGCACATCAAGGATAAGAAGCTGGTATTTAAAAAATATAGGATGGAGGGGACTTCATAGGCATTCAAGAGCTGCAAGGAATGCAATAAGAGATGTAAACATGAAACCCAGCCAGCTAAAATAGATTGTGATAAGCATTTTGCCACAGTTTGTAAGAAGAACCCAAAAACATTATTCTAATATATAAACAGTAAAAAGGTAAGAAAAGAGCAGGTAGGCCCAATAAAAGATGAGAACGGGAGATTAATCACAAATGATAGGGAGAAGGCTGAGGTATTGAATTCAGTTTTCTCCTCAGTATACACTCAAGAAAAAGACGGGTTTAATGGAGAGAAGAATGTGAGTAGCTTAGTGTGCAAGATACCGCAGTGGTTGGCGGTAGCCGGGGTTCAACAAGGAGTTGAAAAAATGTATGCAAATAAATCATTAGGACCAGACAACCTGCACCCTAAAGTACTTAAAGAGGTCAGCCATGTTATAGCGAGACCATTATTCCTCATTTAAAACTCCATACTGAATGGAAGGGTACCAAGTGATTGGAGTAAAGCTACGGTAGTACCAATATTAAAAAAAGGTTCAAGATGCCAACTGGGGAACTACAGACTAGTGAATAATATGCAAACTATTTGAGGGAATGATAAAGGACTATTTAGTGGATTTTGTTCATGGCAATGGTATAATAAATGATAATCAGCGCGGATTTATGAAGGACCATTCTTGTCAGACCAACCTACTAACATTCTACGAAGAGGTGAGTAGAGATCTGAACAGAGGAAAGCCAGGGATGCGGTGTACCTGGATTTTGCAAAAGCATTTTACATGGTACCACATAAGCGCCTAATACACAAGCTGAAATCTATGGGCACAGATGAAATGGTGTGTACATGGATAGAGAACTGGCTACAGGAACGTGTCCAGAGACTATAGATACATAGCTCTTTTTCAGATTGGTCTAAAGTCAAGAATGGCGTGGCCCAGGGTTCTGTGCTAGGCCCAATACTGTTTAACTTGTTTAGTAATGATATTGGGGAAGGTGTTAATAGCCACGTTTCTGTGTTTGTAGATGATACTAAAATCAGCAGGGTAATAGACACGAACGTAGACACTATAACATTACAGGAGGACCTGGATAAAATAGGGGAGTGGGCAACTACATGGCAGATTAAGTTTAATGTTGATAAATGTAAAGTAATGCCTTTTTGGGTTAAAAACAGGCAAGCAGAACACACATTAATGGTAACTCCACTAGGGAAGTAAGAAATGGAAAAAGATCTGGGGGTCATAGTTGACCACAGATTGAATAACAGTACGCAATGCCAGGCTGCAGCAAACAAAGCTAGCAGAGTACTGTCTTGTATTAAAAAGGGATTGTACTGTAGAGACAAGGCAATCATTTTGCCACTTTATAGATCACTGGTTCCGCCTCATCTTGATTATGCGGTTCAGTTTTGGTCACCAATCCACAGAAAGGATGTCCTGGAGCTGGAGTGAGTCCAGAGAAGGGCAACTTAACTAATTAAGGGGCTGTAGGACCTAAGCTATGAGACAAGGTTACAAAATTTAAACTTGTTCATGCTAGAAGTGAGGAGATTAAGAGGGGACATGATTATAATGTACAAAATGTTTAGTGGGGATGGCAACATCAGCAATAAACCTTTTACAGTAAACTCCATTACAAAGACTAGAGGCCACCACCTAAAATTGGTGGAGAAAAGATTTAACCACACAGGGTGTAGGGGCTTCTTTTCAGAGTAGTTACATTTTGGAACGCTCTGCCACAAGCAGTGGTATCCACAGAGAATATTGATTCATTCAAAAATCAGTTAGATACCTTCCTCAGAGATGGTAGCATACAGGGTACAGGTACTCTTAAAAACTTAGACCACACAGGGACTCGTATACACACATGCACGCACAACACACAGACACACAAAGGTTGAACTTGATGGACCTGTGTCTTTATTCAACCTCAAATACTATGTAACTAAAGGTGCCCATACGCCTTACGATTATCGGACGAAACTTTTCATCCGATGATCGAATAGTCGTACGATTTTCGTACGGCAGCCCTATCCTGCCCCGATGATCGCAAGATTAATTTAGCCGTAATTAACGAAAAGCACCTGGACGAAATGCGGTAATTGATTTGCCGTATTTTCGCAAGCGCAGTGTAGATCGTACGAATTTTGACAGACGGAAACACCAGCAACCTTACGAAAATCGTACGATCTAGCAAAGTTTTCAAACATGCTTGACCGTCAAAAGTTGTACGATTGTACAGTAATGTCGGTCGGACACTGCAATGCACACATACGATTATCGGACGAAAAGTCGATCACATACGAAAATCGTCCGATAATCGTATGGTGTATGGACACCTTAAGTAATAGTAATGGCTGCATTAGATAAGAGACTGTCACCTGTCACTTGTGGATCAGTCCTTCTCACACACAGGTACAGCAAAAATGAGTGCCTGTTACAAGAGCACACTCTCAAACACATGGGGGAAGCCTAGCAGGGTGGATGTAACTGAGGAGGGACTACCCAAGTAGCATCAACACATCTCTCATGTTCTAGTATGCCCGCAGGGTACAGGATACTGTCAGGCTCCTAGCATAAGGCTGAATCCTGTGGCTCAGCCCAAGGGACACATATACTGTGGGACAATGTCCAAAGTTGCCAAAATGTCTCATAGGATCTGGGATACTTGACAACTATGGCGTTAAATATTTAAATCTTCAGGTTTCATTAAAATAACTAATGTTGCCACCATGAAGGTGCTTGTTCAGACAATTCCTGTTGTAGGGTTGCTGCACTCTGTCCTTGATTCCCAGTTGTGCTCCTGCATCATTTTGTCACACACGCTTCCAATGGAGACTACAAGTGGCTATTTCAGCACACACTTTGCAGGCACGGCCCACTGTTGCCACCATCAGGGAACCTGCTCTGAGAAACGGCAGGCATTTACAGTCATGTGATGAGAGCAGATACACAGAAAAAAAACAGATGGACTGTCAGCACTGTCACTATACTATAACAAGGAGATTTCAGTTGGGTAAAAAGTAGAAGTGCACCGAAATAAAAATTTCAAAAACAAAATGTCAGGCCGAAACCAAAAATGTTTTTTTTCTAACTTTTTAAAAATATTTTATTTTTTATAAACTTTTAATTTTGTTTATATTTTAATTTATTTTTATTAAATATTTTTATTTTTTTACTTTACTATTAGGGGCTTCGGGGAAATATTAGCGGTCTAAACAGACCCCTGATATTTCCCTTTTAAAATGGAAAAAGGGATTGAGAACACAGAGTCCTCAATCTCTTTTTCTG